AGGGTTTAGGGTTTAGGGTTTAGGGTTTAGGGTTTATAGAAATTGTATAGGGTTTGTGTCCGGAGTTTTGGGGGGTTTTGTCGGGTTTTGTCGGGTTCTGTCGGGTTTTGGGGGGTTTTGTTTTTTAGACTTATATTCCTACGAAGGTTTGGAATTTTTGGTCAAAATATCCGAAATTCAAATTTTGAAGGTTTGGAAATTTCTGAATATTTGATGAAAATCTCTAGAATAAAAACCTTGAAGGCCTGGGGATTTATGGATATCGGACGAAAATCTCTGGAATTTCTGGAATTCTAATTTAGAAGGTCTGGATATTTCATTAAAACCTCCAGAATAAAAACCTTGAAGGCCTGGGGATCTTTGGATATCGGACGAAAACCTCTGGAATTTCTCAAATTTTGAAGGATTTGGAAAATTCTGGATGTCTGAGCAAAATCTCCAGATTTCAAATTTTGAAGATCTGGGAATCTTTGGATACCGGTCCAAAACCTCTAGAATTGAAATTTTGAAAATCTGGAAATCTTTGGATATGGATCGAAAATATCTAGAAGTCAAATTTGGAAGATCTGGGGATTTCTGTATAATTGATCAAAACCTCCAGAATTGAAATCTTGAAGATTTGGGAGTTCTTTTTGAGGGTATTCATTATAATTCTCCTGATGCCCCGAATCTGTTTCTTCGGCAATAGAGGATATAATGATTCATTATCATCTTTCTGAACTCCGTGGAACAGACGGACCTGATGCTTGAAGGTCTGGTAGTCGTTTGTCCATGTCTGCAGTTCTGGGCCAGGAGAAGTTGAGCATGTTGGTTCTTGACAGCCAATACTTGTAATTCTTGTCTTTCTTCTTGTCATGGTGATATTGCACCTCGTCTGGCTTTTTGGATAGGTTTCTGAAAGAAAACCATGTCTTTTGGGGTAACTCTAATCTTGAGCCCGCAGAGAAGAGCGGCGCAATTGTTGCTCAGGTTTGCTGGGGCGCCAGTCTTGCCACACATCCATCCATCACATGAGCATGAGCTGGCGCCTTGGTTTCTGCTTTGCCTTGTGCGATCTTGCGTGAGAGCGCTGGTCTGTGGGGGGGTGAAACGTTGGCGTGGAGCACCAAAGGTGTCCTCACGGCATCACATTGTTAGGAGATGGCAGCTGCGGCTAGACCTCTCGGATGCAGTAGGTCGCCGGATGTCGAGCGAGCTCCGCCAAGAAGACTGCTTCCGGTATCTGCTCTGCTCTGCGGGCCAGGGAGTCCAACCTGAAGATCTTCTCATGGAAATATCGATATGCCACCCAGTGTGCGTTGTCCCGGTTCTGCACCGCCCCGGCAGCTGCTTCCAGATCGTGCTTGGTCACGACGGGTTGAAGGTCCATTTGCCACCTCACACGACCAAACGCAGCCATGGCTTTGGTTTGCAGCACCTGCGCCAGCACTTCCGAGGAGTAGAAGCCACCTGGCGCCACGTGGTCCTCTGCAGCTTCGCCTCGTTCCACCCCACCTTCTTCGAGGACAACCTGCACGGCGTTGTCCATGTCCGCTTCAGTGAAGAAGGCTGCTCCCAAGGCCATGTTAAGGGCGTGCATGCCGCAGAGAGCTTGCTCTTGCGCCTCAAAATACAGGCCTGCAGGTGTGTCTTGATCGGGTCGGCTGCCTGTCCGTTGCATCTTGGCCAAAGACCCAGCCGTGCAAGAGCTTTCTGCAGCCCGTTTGCCGAGGCCCATGAAGACGAACTTTGCTTTGCATTTTGCTTTGGCCTTTGCTTTGCTTTTGGCGTTCGTCTTGGCTGGTGGCTTGGCCGGGCACTTGCGCTTGTGAGCCTTGATGGCGGCTTTGGTGTTGGGAGCCTCCGTGCCGCATAGTGCACAACACCAGGGCCGCTCGATGCGCTCGCCGTGGTCTGGCTTGAGACGGTTCCAGTCGGGCGTCCCCATCTCAGCTAGTCGTCTTTCATAGAACTCCTTGTTCTGCTCCGGCTTGAACAACGCCTTCCAGAGATCCGGGCCGTCCCGGTCGGCTTGTTGGGCCTTCAGCTTGGTCAGGGCCCACTCTGCGTTGGCGTTGAACCGCAAAGCCTTGGGGTTGAAGTGCTCCAAGCTGCAGAGCGCCTGTTCGGGGCAGCGGCTCAGGGCGACGTAGGCTTGACCCTCTGCGAAGATGGTGTGATCGAGGCGGGTATGCGCTCCGTCCTTACAGGTAGCTGCCTGGCTCTTGTGGATCGAGATGGCTTTGGCGAGAACGAGCGGGAATTGATGCCTCGATGCCTTGCTGCCGTCTCTGTCAAGGTACGTGGCCGAGCGCCTCGAGATTGCCACGCAGGAGGTTTCGTGCTCTGCTCGCCAACTGGCCCCAGCATTCTTCTCGAAAGAAACCCAGATCCTCTCGACTTCCCCGCCGGCTTTCTCGGTGTCAATGTGCTCCACCGTGCCACAGGCGCCATTGACCAAGCCATCTCGCACGTCAATGTTGTATCTGAGCATGACACGGAGCCCAATGGCCACCTGCAGCAGGCCTACCAAGCCACCCGTGTTCTCCGGCTCGGCCCAGACGGCATCTGGAGACAGCGGCGCACCGGTCTTGACGTTGGTGTCGACAGCCGGGCAATCGTGTAGCTGTTCTCCTGTGTTCAAAACGTGCTCTTCCTTGTAGCGGCGGTTGCTTTCGGCGACTGCTTGGCGAGTGGCGTATAGGTTCACGGCTTTCGGGGCGGGCCGCTTCTTGCTGCCTTTCTTGATCACCATGTTCCGCAGCACCTCAATGTCGGCGTCGGTCTGCTGTCCCACCCGAACGCGTGCCAGCAGAGCGGCCCAGGCTGGGTCGCGTGCGGCCCGCTGGTTTCCTTCGAGCTCGCAGAGCTGGAAGAGCAGCCAAAGCCGGCTAGCGAAGGCCGGCAGCCCGCTTGGTGGAGGCAACTGATACAGGTCCCCGGCAAAAATGACGTGCAGTCCTCCGAAGGGCAGGGTTTGCAGATCTCTGGCAAGACGGAGATGCTGATCCAGACGCTCCAACATCCAGGAGGGGATGAAGCTCATCTCGTCAACGAACAGAACGCTGACCTTCGACCAGATGTCTCTGAGAGTGGCTAACTTTTGGCGGTCTGGCAGCGGCATGTCGCAGGCCTTGCCGTGGCTTTGGTTCACTACGGGCAGCAAGCAACATTGATGGAGGGTGACGCCGTTGATGTTGAATGCTGCCACACCCGTGGGCGCCGCGATGATGCATCCTTTCTTGCTTTGCCGCAGGACGTGAGCTGCCGCGCGTACCACCACGGACTTGCCGCTGCCGCCGGGCCCGTGGAGGAGCATGTGCAGACGCTGGGTATTCTGCGTGTCCTTGGTGTTCGGCTGCCTCAGAACTGACTGGACGATGTGCTCCATGGCTTGGCACTGGCGCATGGTCTCCGGGCTGGGGTTTGCAACCGTCAACATCTCGAAGGATTCTTCGCCTTCCTCGACCGGCGCGAAGGCATTGAGGGCAGCTCCGGTGGGCACAGAGTCCGGGGCCAGGAAGTCGATGTCTCCTCCATACCGCTCCTTCAGTGCCTCCAATATTTGCAAGGAATCCTTGTAGTTCTCTTCGGCAACCATGCTGTTGGCCCAGCCGTCCCGCAGGTTTGCCGGATGCATCTTGGCCTTCATGTACATCGTCGCTTGTACGGCCTGCAGCTTGCGGGCGGCGTCGACGGTCCCATCTAGCTGAGGGAAGCATCTCGACCGAAGGAAGTCTGGGTGGCCGCGCACGTCTCGGGCGATGCGCTGGAACGCCGCTGCATGGCTTCCTGCATCCTGCTCCAACAGCCAATCTCCAGGTTCCTTCCACACCAGGTGCAGCAGCAACTTGGAGTAGTAGAAAGCTTCGGCCTCTTCGTCCGGGTTGAAGTTCTGGTAGCCGACGATTGCAGGGCGCCTGCGAGGCTGTGGTTCTTGCACGCCGATGTACTTGAAAGCCGCGCAAAAGTCCAGGAAGGTGACTTCACTAAACCGACAGGAAACCGGCTCCCTGCTTTCCACTGGCAAGGTCGTCTCATGTTCACCGAAGGTGGTTTGCATTTCCCGGTACCAGTGATGAGCAACAGGCAGGTTCCCACCTTGGCGCATCTTCTTGTTGCGGTAGTCAGTGGGCTGCTGCAAGGCCACCTGTTCCTCGTGCTTGGGCACCCACACAGTCCAGGTGTCTGGAGGCCCTACCTGTACCCAGACGTTGTCCCTGGAGAATTCGATGATCGGGAAGCCCAGCAGAAGGTGGCATGCCTCGAAGGTCGACGTGGTCCTGCCCTGCAACGCCGCGTGGGCTGCCTTGTAGATCTTCTGATTGTCGAGGCCGGCGCCTGCGCTCTGACTTGTTAGGATGGCAAGGATGTTTTCCATTCGCCGCTGCGCTTCGCGATCCTCCTCCGACTTGAAAGTGTAGCCCAGTATGTACCGACTGGCGCTGGTGAGCTCGCAAATCACCTGCAGGTCCATGCTTGCCCTCCACATCCGCAAGATTCGAATATTGTACTGCCCCATCATGCTGTCTCCCTTCACTCGTCTCGTGGCAAGGCTGCTTTTCCAGCGGCTGTTGGCGTACTGCTCCTGCGATGTTCGACGCCGAGTCCGGGGTTCTGCGTCATGTGGATATCCAAATCGGCAGGCGCCTTCTGAGTACATGCCGCAATATGGTGTGTGGTTGTGCACCACTTCTGCGGACAGCTTTGCGTTTACTTCTCTATCTCTTGCTGATACGCGGTGGGACTGGCGCCACGTGTTCGGGGACTTGGTGCAGATGTACTTGTCGCTGAGGTCTTCTGCGGACTTGGGGATGAAGTTCTCCATGGCTTCTTCATCAGACCAGTCTGGAACCGGCGTCTCAGCTGCTTGTTCCGAGTCCCTGCTGTTGTGCGCCGGCTGCTGCTTTGCTTTGGCCCACTCTTCGATCCAAAGCAGGATGTGAGCGTGGGGGTAGCCCCTCTTTTGCCACTCTATGCGAATGATGTAATCCAGCACTTTGAAAGGAGGCCATTCCTTGCGCATGCGGCGATGAAGGCCTGCGGAGTCCGTGGCCGGGGCCTGGGCATCGTCCTCTGCATCCTCGTGGTCGTTATTCTCGCCTCCATCTTGTGGATCAGCATCTTCGTGTAGGTGGACTTGCGAACCGCGCGTGCTGGACAGCCACCACATCAGCTGAGAGACTTGGTGCATGAATTGTCGCGCTACCACCGCCGGCTGCTGGTTGCACAACTGGTTGGGCGACAACCCGTCCCAAGTGAAGCTTTTGTCGTTCTGGTAGCGGAACAGGATCTCTGCAGCGTGCTGCTCTAGTTCTGCGTGAGGGCGGTCGGGATGCAGCCGTAGCAGCCGCGCCGAGATAGCCGCGAGGAGCAAGGCAGGCTGGCGCGCGTGGCAGGACAGTGTCATGAAGAAGTTGGGAGCGCCAAGCTGCTCGTACATGTTGAGCGCCACCCCCTTCTTGGCGTAGAGGTACGGCTGCGTGCCGGGCATGTCCCGCAAGGCAGTGTACACCTGACGGCTACCGTTCTCGTAGTCGCTGCTGCCGTAGGGTGCCCGTTGGTTGCCGATCCGGACGTTGATGTTTCCGGAAAGTCGCTTCTTGGTTTGCATCTCCAACAGCCACATGATGTAGGCCGTGGACGCTTCGAAGCGCGCATCCACGCTCAGCAGACGCTTCCGGGCATATTGGGAAAAGCTCCCGTTGTCGTTCTGCCAGCCTCCTGTGCCGGTGGGAAACAAGTGTGGGAAGAATTTTGCATCCATGCCATCACTGAGGTCTGCGGATCCTCGCACTTTTCGCAAATCATGTGCGTCGGCTTTTGGGGCTTGGAATTGCTTCGGCACCAGGTACGTCATCTCGATCTCTTGGTTTGCTTCTGTTCCTGGAAGTGGGTCTGCTGGCGTCGCAGCCGCAGCCGATGTCTTGTTGGCGAGGATGGCAGCCATTCTTGCCAGGGCTCTGTCCACTGCCGGGCTCCGTTGATAGAGGCAGTGCAGTTCTTTTAAGGCCTGCAAGGCTGCGTGCAGGTACTCCAGACGCGCCGGAGATGCGGTCATGCCGTCGACGCCCTCGACCAGCACTGTACCGTCTTCTTCCAAAGTGGCGCCTTCGAGGACGTCGCAGATGAAGGGATCCTGCATGAGCACTGCGTACATGCGACCCCACTGCGCGCTCGGGCCGCCTGATGGCAGCTTGTCCAACAAGACCTGCGAGATGCGTGCCATGGCGAGGAGATGCTGCTCGATGGGTTGCAGACTTTGCAGTGCTTCTGGGATGGGGGCCGGGGTTGGCAAAACGACCTTGGTGCGATTCTCACGGCAATTCCTGCAAAGCAGCTGGCCGATTTCTTTGGCTGTTTTGCAGTGCCTCCCTGGCGTTAGAGTCTGGCACTTCTGGCACACGCGAGAAAGGCCAAATCTACTCCAGCTCCGCGCAAAAGCCAAGTAATGGGCTTGCGCTTGCTCCTGGGTCAAGGTGTCCTCGTCTGGAAAAGGGTAGCCCTGCTGCTGAATCTCCGAGGCGATGGGTCTGGGCCCTCGGCCGCCCACTCCCTCCTCTGCCTCTGCCTGCACCCTTGCCTCATGCAGCTGTCGGCGCTTTTCCTCTTTGCTGTCTTCTTCCCGCAAAGGTCCACGACGGCCTGCTTCCTCTTCTGCTTCTGCTCTCGCCCTTGCCTCATGCAGCTGTCGGCGCTCCGCCCTTTTGCTGTCTTCTTCCCGCAAAGGTCCACGACGGCCTGCTTCCTCTTCTGCTTCTGCTCTCGCCCTTGCCTCATGCAGCTGTCGGCGCTCCGCCCTTTTGCTGTCTTCTTCACGTAAAGGTCCGTGCCCGCTTGCTCCCTCCTCTGCTCCTGCTTTCGCCCTTGCCTCATGCAGCTGTCGGCGCTCCGCCCTTTTGCTGTCTTCTTCACGCAAAGGTCCACGACCGCCTGCTCCCTCCTCTGCTTGTGCCCTCGCCCTTGCCGCGTGCAGCTGTCGGCGTTCCGACTCTTTGCAGTCTGCTTCACGCAAAGGTCCACGGCTTCCCGCTCCCTGCGCCGCCCGCTGTTGCTGTCGAGCAATTTTCTCTGCACTCTGCTGGACGAGAAGCTCTTCCTTTTCAGCTTGGCGGCATTGCGGATTGCTGCACCATCCTTGTCCTCTGCCCCTCCTTATGCCCAAGCTGCACCGATGACAAGGGGCCATGGCAACGAATTGTATGAAATCGACAGTTCTCTCTTCACAGCTAGCGCTGTATCCGAAACGCTGCGAGCAGGTTCGGTGAATGAACTTGAGAAGCCATGCTTAAGCACTTGCAAAGCTGCCCTGCGCAGGAGCCCTAATGCAATAGATGCTTTTACGCTTTGTTTGGCAGTGAATCGGCAGCCTGACGGCGTTTTGCATGCCCAGAACGGATCAAATGCGAGTGCCGAAAACGATTTGCACACAGACTACGTCATTGGCGTCGGCTCTTCTGGCTTCTGGACTAGTCATGATAGATCGAACTGGCGCTCTGGTTCTGGAAACCTTCACAATAAGTCGAACGAGGCTTTGTCTCTTGAAAGTATATAGTCATTATATGTGATGAAAATAGGGTGTGTCTTCTTTCATTAGAAGTCGAACTACATTTCCCGCAGAAAAATGGTTGATAAGGAGGTCAGGGAAAAGGGTGCAGCTAGGGGCGGGGGGGGGGGGGCAAAGCAGTTGAATTATTTGGAGTCTCTTGAGCTGGGTTTTCCTGGTTCCTGGCAACCTGCATAATGAGTCGAATGCTCCAGCAATCCTCAGAGCTTCGGAATAAGTCACACTGGGTTCCTGGCTCCTGTCAGGCCTCACAATGAGTCGAACTGAGTTCTCTGTGCGTGGCAACGTGCAGAAGACTTGTCTAGCAACTCTCAGAGTGTGTTACTTGCTTCTTCCAACCTTCACTATAAGTCGACCTGGGTGCCTTGCTTTTAGCAGACTGTGCAAGAGATCAAACAAGCGCTTGCCTTCTAGAAAAAACGCAATTGGAATTGCGCCAGTGGGTCTTGCGCGTGTTCAATATAAGTCGAACTGGGCTCCCGGCTGTTTGTTAATTGTGCAACCAGTCAAACTGATCTTCTGGGTTCTGGACTAGTCGTGATAGATCGAACTGGCGTTCTGGTTCTGGAAACCTTCATAACAAGTCGAACGAGGCTGTGTCTCTTGAAAGTAGTCATTATACGTAATGAGAATAGGGTGTGTCTTCTTTCATTAGAAGTCGAACTACATTTCCCGCAGAAAAATGGTTGATAATGGGGTCCGGGAAAAGGGTGCAGCTAGGGGCGGGGGGGCAAAGCAGTTGAATTATTTGGGTGGGTTTTCCTGGTTCCTGGCAACCTGCATAAAGAGTCGAACGTTCCAGCAATCCTCAGAGCTTCGGAATAAGTCACACTGGGTTCCTGGCTCCTTTCAGGCCTCATAATGAGTCGAACTGAGTTCTCTGTGCGTGGCAACGTGCAGAAGACTTGTCTAGCAACTCTCAGAGTGACCAGTGGGTTTTGCGCGTGTTCAATATAAGTCGAACTGGGCTCCCGGCTGTTTGTTAATTGTGCAACAATTCAAACTGATCTTCTGGCGTTCTGGTTCTGGGAACCTTCGTAACAAGTCGAACGAGGCTGCGTCTCTTGAAAGTATATAGTCATTATACGTAATTAGAATAGGGTGTGTCTTCTTTCATTAGAAATCGAACTGCATTTCCCGCAGAGAAACGGTTGGTAAGGAGGTCCGGGAAGGAGGTGCAGCTAGGGGTGGGGGGCAAAGCGGTTGAACAGAGCTTCGGAATAAGTCACGCTGGGTTCCTTGCTCCTTTCAGGCCTCATAATGAGTCGAACTGAGTTCTCTGTGCGTGGCAGTGGGTCTTGCGCGTGTTCAATACAAGTCGAACTGGGCTCCCGGCTGTGTGTTAATTCTGCGACAAGTCAAATGGATCTTCTGGCTCCTGGATTCATCACGATAGATCGAACATGCAACCCTCTTTAAGTCGAACCAACCATTTTGGACAGGCAAAAAGGCCAGCGGGGGTGTGGGGGGCCCCGGAAGGGTGGGGAGGGGGGAGAAGGGGGGGGTGGTGGGGCGCGGTGGGAACCCTCATTTTAAGTTGAACCAATAATTCGTGAAGAGGCGGGGGAGGGGGGGTGAGGTGGGGGGGGGGGGGGGCAGCGGGGGCGGTGGCTCCCGGCTGCTCCTGCTTCACCACGATAGATCGAACATGCAGGTGTCTTGTAACCCTCATTTAAGTCGAACCAACCATTTCGGGAAAAACGGGTGAGGGAAGGGGGGTGGGTGGAGGTTGGGACTGGGCGGGGGAGGGGGAGGGGCTAGGGGGGGAGGGGGGAGGGGGGGGGCGGAGGGGGGGGGAGGGGGGGGGGGAGGGGGGGGGGAGGGGGGGGGGGGAGGGGGGGAAGAGGGGGGGGGTGGAGGGCGGGGATGGGGGGGGGGTGCCCCTCATTTTAAGTCGAACCAACTGGGCTCCCGGCTGTGTGTTGGTTCTGCGGCTCTCGCTCCTGCTTCATCACGATAGATCGAACATGCAGGGGTGGGGGGGGGGACCCTGGAAGGGTGCGCGGTGGGGTCTTGTAACCCTCATTTAAGTCGAACCAACAATTTCGGGCAAAACGGGTGAGGGGGGGGGGACGGGGGGGGGGAGGGGGGGGGGGGGGGGGCAGGGGGGGGGGGGGAGGGGGGGGGGAGGGGGCGGGGGGGGAGGGGGGGGGGGGGAGGGGGGGGGGAGGATGGGGGGGGCGGGGGGGGAAAAGGGGGGGGGGGAGGGGGGGGGGGATGGGAGGGGGGGGGGGGGGGAGGGGGGGGGGAGGGGGCGGGGAGGGGGGGGGAGGGGGTATGTTTTCACCCACAGTTAAGTCGAACCACAAAATTGGTGGGTGGGGGGGGGGCAGGGACGGGGGGTAGCCTAAGTTGGCTCCAGAGGTTTAAGTAAATTGAGCATTTGGTCTCCCAGACGCTTTGGATTAATTTACTTAAACTCTGTATGTCAGCTGTTTAGACAAATATCTTGAAAATTCAGAACGATACCACATACAATTTCTATTTATTTTGTCTTGAGGGTTTAGGGTTTAGGGTTTAGGGTTTAGGGTTTAGGGTTTAGGGTTTAGGGTTTAGGGTTTAGGGTTTAGGGTTTAGGGTTTAGGGTTTAGGGTTTAGGGTTTAGGGTTTAGGGTTTAGGGTTTAGGGTTCAGGGTTTAGGGTTTAGGGTTTAGGGTTTAGGGTTTAGGGTTTAGGGTTTTCGCTGCGAGTGCGCTTCGACCCCCTCCATGAAGTGGTTGGGGGTCGGCGCATGAGCTGCAATGCCCCCCCTCCCACCCAAAATACAAACCTTGGACGGGTTTAGGGTTATCTACCCCCCTACCCCCCTATCAAGGGGGGATAGATTGTTTGGTGGAGCAGGGGTAAATTATCACCTTCGACAACTGTGGAGAAAACCCTCTTCAATTTGCAGAGTGCTTTGTTTCCAGTTGGCAAATCTTCAACTCAAGACGCGGTAACTGTCAACAACAATTGAAGGAAGGCAAAAGTGCATTGTTTTGGTCGAGTAACATAAACATGAATGCATGAGCACCGCTTCTTTGAGAGCCAAGATTCTGCGCGCAAGACAAATGCAAGTCATCTGGCGTGCCAGGGTGGGTGAGGGGCAACTCCAGGAGCACTGCACCAAGCTACTTCCGTCTTCAGTACGCATGCAACAAATCACCAGGCCTGTGCAACTAGAGTGCCATATGCAAAAGGCTGACGACCTTGATTTGCCGCTTCCAACGCTGTCCTGCGGCAGGTCGAAGATGCACCGTGCTTTGCGCTGCCTAGCGCCGCGCGGCACCGGTTACTGAAGGTGAGACATGTCAACTACCTCGCTGTGGGCCACCTGTACGTGTGTGGCCCAATGATGTGAAACGACTTGAAAAGGACGTCACTTGGCTGGAGTGAAATGATCCTCTGTCAAGATGCCCGCCAACAGGAAGTCCTTGTAGTAGCCGACCCTACTGATGGCAGTGTAGGCCGCGGCAGGCACCTTCGGGGCATCCAGGTAGACGACGACGTGAGGCAGCTCGGCGCCCTGGAACTTCAGGATGGTGGACGCGTAACCCGGCCGGACGGGATAGTAGACCAAGCCACCCCTTTCCGGGTCGGTCCATGGCCAGACGCTGACCACGAACCCGGTGGCAGTGCGCACCAGCAGGCCGCCCGTGTTGTCGTCGTACTTCAGCACCGTCGCCTCCATCCCATTGACGAAGTCGACATCCTTCCGCACATTGCGGGTCAAATACACCCGCATGCCCTTGTAGACGGGCATAGTGGAGGGCTGCAGCTCTGCAGGTGGCTTCAGCTTGCCTTGCGCATAGTTCTCAGGATTGGAGTCCACGTCAGCTGGCAAAGTCGCACTTGGAGGGTACTTCGGGAAGAGGGCCTTCAGAGCAGTTCCGTTGACCACAGCAGCACCCCGCCTGGTGCAAGTCAGGATCGTCGTGTTGGGCTTGGATTTGAGGAGCTTCTGGAGTCCCTTCACCGTCGGCCGGCCCGGCGGCCGCCACGCCATCTTCTTGCGGAGCTGCCGGAGCAGCTTGGCATTTGGTTTGCCGGTCCTGAGGGTTGCCAGCAGCTTGGCGTGCACCTTGTCCTTGCAGCGGTACATTTTGTGGAGGGCCACGCGGTAGCACATGGTGTTCCAAAGGCGCGAATGCCACGGGCGCTTCTCCCCCATGCCGGGCATCTGGTACCGATCACCCAGCAGCGCGAGGGCCGGCGTGCGCTCTGCAGCTGCCCACAAGCGCAAGATCCTGTCGAAGTTGACCATGTCCAGTTGCGAAAGCTCGTCTACGACAATGAGAGAGTACACGCTCAGCAAGGACGCCTCGCCATGCTCTGCAGATTCATGTAGGCCAAACGCGGCGTGGCAGGTGTCGATGTCGATCTTGTGGCCGTAGCGCGCCTTCATGCGACTGGCCAACTGGGCGGTCGGCAAAGCCATCAAGACCTTGCCGCCCTTGGTCAAGGCACGGTCGATGCAAGAGAAGACCACCGTAGTCTTGCCGGTCCCGGGTGGTCCCAGGCACACGTTGGCCTTGCTGTCCTTCGCCTCTTGTCGCAGACGGTCCGCCTCGCCCTCGTCCTCTGCGTCCTCGATGGCCAGCGCTCTGTCCACTGCGCTGTCCACGAGCTCTTTGAAGCCTCCGCAGGCAGGACAAGAATTGTATAAGCGCATGACGCGCATGTGCGTCAACACAAAAATACACAAACCATCTCCACCAGGTTTTTTGATGCAGACGAGGCTCGGAGTTGCTGCCTGTTGAACTTGCTAGCGTCCACGGGGCCTGCTTTCTTCTTGCAGGTCTTCGTCTTGCTGCGGCACTTCTCCTGGGTTTGCCGGTCCTCTCGGGCATCCAGGGTGCCATCAAGGTATTCCTGAAGCAAGCCGCGATGCGCACGGATCATGGCCAGGATGGTGTCCACGTGATCCTTGGTGTGTGCCTCCATCTTCAGCTCGGCGCGGATCTTCTCGTCGTCCTGCCACATGGCCTGCGCTGCCGGGTGCTCGCAGAGGATTGCCATGGCGAAGTACTTGTGTGCCTCCGGAAGCCGTTGGGCGACGTGCTCCGGCACGCAGAAGTCCGTGGCTTTCTCGAAGGGAACATGAAGCATGAGCCACTGGCCAAAGTAGCGGTCGTTGAACTTGGAAACTGTCTCGGCGGCCACGACTTTCTCGCCTTGCATCACGTAGTTCGCAGCAAAGTCCTCTAGGGTGGCGCCGCCGCCAGACTGCACGTGTTTCTTCTTGAGCCAGTGGCAGATCTTCCCCTCGGCCGTGGTCTTGCGCAGGTAGTCGAGGAGGCTGATGCGGCCACGAGCCCATTCCGCCTGCTCGTACAGCTCCACCTCGCGCAACTTGGGCTCCTGGTCAGGGTAGGGCGCCACCAAGTCGCGCTTGCCGCCGCTCTGGGTGGAGAGGTGCCACTGGCGGAACTTGGCACCGAAGAGCTGCAGCACCATCTCGGGCTCCAGCGGCCGGTAGCGCATGAGGACCGTGGCGGCGATGCTCATGGCGTCAGCATCGTCGTTGAGCCACTCCTCGCTGGCCGCGTCCGAGAACTTGCTGACGTACTTGGTGGCAGCGGAGCACCTCCATGAGGTCGACGAGGTAGGGGCGCAGGCCCTCGGCGTGGTCGTCCTCCGTGTGCTGCAAGCGCCATGCACCAGCCTCACGGTCAAAGCAGCTTGGTGCCTCGTGGATGGGCCAGCCGCTCTTCTTTTCCTGATCGTACTGGCTGCCTTCGACGTAGCCACGGAGGTCCGCGTCTTCGGGCAAAGTGGCGGACACGGTCTCCGCCAGATCCAGCTGCTCGACGTGCTCAGGCTTCACGAAGATGACGACATGCACGTGGACCCGGCCCGAGCCGTGGTAGTCCTGCGTGGCTGCCTTGCGAGTGCCATCCTGATACTCGAGCCGCAGGAAGAAGTGCAGGCGACAGGCCTGTCCCCGCTCGTCAAGAACGCGGAAGATGTTGCTCTTCCACGCCTTGCGCCCATGTCCCCCCGTTTGCCCCAACAACAAGCCTTTCACAGCTTGGACCATGACGTGCACTATGTGCAGCGTCTCCGCCACCGGCAGGAAGAGGCGCTCCTTGAGCATCTTCTGCATCTCGTCGCGGACCCACTCGTGATAGGGGAAGCTCCATTCGTAGGGGGCGATGGTGAAGAAGATGCGAGGGTAGCCGATCTGCCGCACCATGTCCAGCAAGGCATAGTGCACTCCACGCCAATAGTGAGGGCTGAAGGCCTCGCCCTTGAGCATGAGGCGCATCGGCGTTGGCAGCTGCAGGTTCTTCTTGGAACCGATGCTGCTCCAGAGGTTGAGGTCATAGACGAACTGGAGCAGCTCGAAGTCTGCAGCATAGCCCAGGAGACGACCCAGTGCCAAGGCAGCAAAGAGCCGTTTCATGCTGTGGCGCGTGGCGTCATTTGCTTCTGCGTCCTCCTCATTTGCCAGCTCCAAGGTGGCTGCCCGCTCCTGCCGAATCACCCGCCTGGGGTCCGTGGCACGCTCGTGAGTGAAGGTGCGCTTCACATCCCAGAACAAACCAGGCCAGAGGGCGCACTCCACGCCGACGCGTTCAATGAATTGTAGCCGGCGACGGCGAGTGAGCTCGTCAGCGCCGGGGTGTTCTTCCAGAAACTCCGCGTGCTCGGCCACAAAGGTCGCATAGGTTGTGTCATCCGAGGCCATCAAGAAGTCGTAAGCTGCGCGGGCCTTCGTCCGCATGTTCACGTCCTGGCCATGTCAGCGAGCAAACACATTGCTGAAAATGTTAAATGTAAAGATTCTGATAGGACACCTGCATACTCAACGCCTCAACGCCTGGCCTGCAGGTGCTTGATGCGCTTCTTCACTGTAGTCGTCTGCCAGCGGAAGCGGATCATGGTCGTCTTCTGGCGGTAACCGGACTTGTGCTCGGCGCGCACGACCGGGCCCACATCGATCTCCAAGGGCGACAAAGCTTGCGCAGCCTCTGCAGACAACTCGCGCAGAACCTCTGGCACATCAGCCAGCGTCACCACCGGCTGCACGCGCGCAGCTTTGCATCTGGAGCACTTGCCTGAAGGATTTGTGGGTGGCTGGGGCTTGTTGAGCGTGCTCTCTGTGAGGTCGCGAGGCGCGAGGAGGCCACAGTTCTCACACATGCTCCAGGAGTCGAAAAGGCACCAACGCTCGAAGTCCTCGGCCAGCCGGCGGCGCTTCGCCGGGGGCAACCCAGTGGTATTCTCGACGGCCCCGCCAGCTGGTGTTCGCTTTGAGGGCTGGCCCATGCGGCGCCGTGCCCGAGCCCTGTCTGCCAGAACCTGCTCTCGATATTTCTTCTTTGTCGCAGCCGACGCTGAGGCTGCAGCTGTCTGCCGCGACGCCAGGGCGCCTCTCCACAAGACCGGGAGCTCCTGCCTGTCCAGCGGGCGTCGGCCGCCCCGCCCAGCCGCGCGCTTGGGCGCCGGACCCTGCAGCTGCGCTTCAAAATATTCCACGGCGTCGGACGGCAGGCGCTCTTCCAAAGCGCGGGCGCGGGCAGCCACTGACAAGCGCCGGAGCTTGCCCAGCACCTGTGTGTGCATATGCGCTCATGTTCTGCTCTATGCTTGCCCAGCACCTGTGTGTGCATATGCGCTCATGTTCTGCTCTATGCTACAAATATTGCGCAGAACAGAACGAAAGAGACTTTGTCGGGTGGCCCCGCCTCTCGCTTGCCAGCTTCCTCCGCGCACAATGGCCACAGATCTTCAGGTCGACAGAATAGGCAGCGTGCGCTGCGACCCCTCACCTGAGCTGGGCCTCCGCGTGCTGCAAGAGCAAAGGTGCAGCGCTCGCCGTTCATGCCCACGCACACCCATGGCTTGGCCAGCTCTGCCTCGAAGTAGCCACAGAAGTCCTCCGGCACCCGCTCCAAGGCAAGGCGTTGGTACTCGGGCGTCAAGGCCAACAGCAAGCGCTTGATGTGTCCACGCGACCGTGGCTGAGCACAGGCCGCGGCCAAACGATCTGGATTACCACAGAAGACCTCAGGCAGCAACGCAGCTTGGTTAAAAATGCATGCCTCTTTTGCAACTTCTTGCTTGCCGCAGACAGTTCTACAGCAGTTCATCTCTGCCATCAAGGCGCGCATGCAGGAAATGCACCTCGCTGCGCTGCACGGCCTGGGCTTTGCGCCGAGAAGCAACAAGGAGAAGCCGCTGTGCCAGGACACACGGAGGGCATGGCTCTGAAAAGTGGAAAACTCCTGAGATCGACGAAGTATTCACAAGAACTCGAGCCAGGACAGAGCGAGAACACAAATCAAACCTGTTCCTCCAATCAGCAGGCTAGACTGGCTAGATTGAAGAAGTATAAGGCTCCGAAAGCAGCGCAGGGCGTGACAAGGCACGGGCATGCAGTCGCTTGTTTGCGTCTGATCGGGAGCACGTTGAGGTGTGTGGTGCTGTACAGTGGGCTGCGCCTGTGCTGGTCTTGTGCTGCCACGACTTTGAAACACGATGGCCTGCGGCTACTCACTCCTCTCCTGGCTCATTCTCCAGAGCCTCGATGACCACAGGCGCCTCTGGCGGTCCTCCCTCCTCGCACAAGCCGGCGTCCGCCGCCAGCCGGGCCTGCTCATGAATGCTCTTCGCCTTGGCCACCATGTCCTGCATGGTCTCGAAGATATTGATCAGCTTGTCCTTCTTCGGCAGGCGTGTCATCTGCTTCAACGTCTGCAGAACCTTGGCCAGCCCATGCTCCGTCAGCACGGCCTCGGGCACGTTATCCAGGAGAGCGACCAGCACGTACAATGGCAGCCTATTCTTTTTGTTGTCCTGGTTTGCAACCATGGTCTGCAACTCGTCCGCAAACTTGGCCACCTCGGACTCTGCCCAGGACAGATGCGGGTCGAGCCCCGGAGTTTCTGCCTCCTCCTCCTCTTCCTGATCCTCCAAGGAAAGCTCAACGGCCGCCGGCCTTGCCGATGTCGCCCGCTTCTTCGGAGCTTCGGCTTTCTTCAGTTTCTTCTTCTTCTCCTTCTTCTTCTTCTCATCACTTCCATGGGAGTGGGAACACGAGGAGGAGCCGGACTTGTGGTCGCTTTCACTTCCAGATTCCTTGGCTTCGGAGTTGTTCTCCGACTCAGACCCGGACTCCTCCTTGCCAGCTGCTTCCTCGCTGCTGTCTCCGAAGGCCCGTTTCTTGCGGGGAGCTTTCGCTTCCAGGCGAGCCGCGTTCGTCGCCGCGACGGCTTCCACGCAACTGTCCAGAGTCTTCTTCTGGATGAACTTCCGGATGGGTTTGTCCTGCTTGGACTCGTCCGGGATCTTCTTTGCCCACGCCTTCGGATTGGACGCGAGAGTGCAAAGCTCCAAACCAGCCATAGCGCCAGCGTACATGCGTGAGGCTGTGTCTGCCAGTCGAGCGAAGTCCTTCACCCGTTGCTGCAGAGCCTCCTTCTTCCCAAGCTTCTTGAGCACCTTCTCGGCGTGCGGCTTCAAAGAAGATGCAGATGAGCACGCCTTGTTTGACAGGTTGACGGCCGCCAAAGCACTGCCCAAGGGCTCCAAGAGCTTCTTGACAGCCGGAATTCCAGTTTGCCCAAACTTCTTCTCAGACGATGAAGGAAGCACCGCCAAGGCAGCTGCGCAGGATTCCAACGAGGCAGAGGCCATGCTGACGCCCAGGCCTGGCCGAGCGATGCACTCCGAGGTCTCTGCTGTAAGCTGCTCGGTCAGCGTGGAGGTGGTGAAGTATTCCGTCGGCGCTTGCTTGTCCGTCAGGAGCACGCAGCCATCCTCATCGGGCCAGCTGCGGAGAAACGCTTTCAGGGGCAGCTTGTAAAACGGTACACCTGGAGGGTATTTGCCCTTCGCCTTGCCATCCTTGGCGATGTGCTTGCCTGTCGATTTCCGGGGGACCCACTTGCCCATGGCTGCTGCAAGTCAATGACCTAAAATTGGACTACTAAAGCTGGAACTCTCACTTTTGCGCAGCACAGCTATCGGAACGGCCCCACGCTGCTGCTGAACTCAGTAAAGTCACAAAGCGTGGCAGAGGATTTTTCTCAGTTGCGCACGACCACAGTCATGTGGCAGCAGACCACAGTCATGTGGCAGCAGTGGGGATCGTATTCTGCTGCGCTTGAAATTCTGGGTCACGTATGGACTAGCAGTCTCGAACGAGCCCTCCAAGGATTCAATGCAATGTTGTTATTCTGAAGAAAAAGCAAAGCTTGCAGACCGGCAGCCCAAGTTGCAGCTGCGCCCATCAATCTATTTGTCTTCATTGTCCTCGACTCGAAGCAGCCCTTCCCGAAGTCCAGGTCTTGAACAAGCCCTCCAGGTAGTCCTCCTTCTTCGCCCCATGATAGGCTGGTGCTTCATTCCAGCGTCCGCGCACAGACAAAGGATGCAATGCAACGCTGTTATTTACAAGAAAGAGCAAAGCCTTGCTGAGACCAGGTCACCCCGCGCCCGAATCACCTCAAGAATGGATCACCCCAACGACTGGGTCACCTCAGAGCTGGGTGTGTGCCAGAACTGAGTCACCCCAGCGTTGGGTCACTCCATAAGCTTGAGTCACTTCAGGATTGGGGCACCCAGCCTTGTCTGCAGCCGAAGGTGCTCTGCCCAAGCGTTCTATTTGTCTTCAATGTCCTCGACTCAAACCAGCCCTTCACAAAGTCCAGGTCTTGAACGAGCCCTTCAGCAGGAAGTCCTCCTTCTTCGTCCCGTGATAGACTGGCCTGGCAGACAAGGGGTTCAATGCTGTTATGCTTTGAAACGAAAACACAATGTCTTGCTAAGATCAGCAGCCGAAGTTGCACACATCAATCTATTTGTCTTCAATGTCCTCGACTCGAACCAGCCCTTCACAAAGTCCAGGTCTTCAACGAGCCAGTCCTCCTTCTTTGTCCCCGGGATAAGCAAACTGGCCCTCCAGGAAGTCCTCCTTCTTTGTCCCCGGGAGAAACAAACTGGCCCTTCAGGAAGTCCTTCTTCTTTGTCCCCGGGATAAGCAAATTGGCCCTCCACAAAGTCCTCCTTCTTTGTCCGGCCCTCCAGGAAGTCCTCCTTCTTTGTCCCCGGGAGAAACAAACTGGCCCTCGAGGAAGTCCTCCTTCTTTGCCCCCGGGATAAGCAAATTGGCCCTCCAGGAAGTCCTCCTTCTTTGTCCCCGGGATAAGCAAACTGGCCCTCCAGGAAGTCCTCCTTCTTTGTCCCCGGGACAAGCAAACTGGCCCTCCAGGAAGTCCAAGAAGTCTTCCTTCTTTATTGCCGGGATAAGCCAACTTGCCCTCCATTCTTCGTCCCCGGGAAAAGCAAACTGGCCCTCCAGGAAGTCCTCCTTCTTTGTCCCCGGGACAAGCAAACTGGCCCTCCGGGCAGTCCTCCTTCTTTGTTCCCGGGATAAGCAAACTGGCCCTCCAGGAAGTACTCCTTCTTTGTCCCCGGGATAAGCAAACTGGCCCTCCAGGAAGTCCTCCTTCTTGTCCCCGGGATAAGCAAACGGGCTCTCCAGGTAGTCCTCCTTCTTTGTCCCCGGGATAAGCAAAGTGGCCCTCCAGGAAGTCCTCCTTCTTGCGGGACGCCGGAGACTTCTGCTGGTGTCGGGGGTTCGCCCTACGGCCGCCCCTGCTCTCTGCCTCGATGTCGGGGTGGACGCATCCTGCATCACCGGGTGTCGGGCGTAGGTCGCTGCCGCTTTCCCTCTCACCTCGATCCGGTGGCTTGCTTTGCCGCGGTGGTTGCTTTTGCTTGCCGTTTTGGACGTGTTCAGAAGCAACACCGTCCACCAGACCCCAAGCAATGCCTCCTCCTTCTTTGTCCCCGGGATATAAGCAAACTGGCCTTTTGGAAGTCCTCGTCGTTATCCCTGGGATAAGCGAACTGGCCCTCCCGGAAGTCCTCCTTCTTTGTCCCGGGATAAGCAAATTGGCCCTCCAGGAAGTCCTCCTTCTTTGTTCCCGGGATAAGCAAACTGGCCCTCCAGGAAGTCCTCCTTCTTTGTCCCCGGGATAAGCAAACTGGCCCTCCAGGAAGTCCTCCTTCTTTGTTCCCGGGATAAGCAAACTGGCCCTCCAGGAAGTCCTCCTTCTTTGTCCGGCCCTCCAGGAAGTCCTTCTTCTTTGTCCTCGGGATAAGCAAACTGGCCCTCCAGGAAGTCCTCCTTCTTTGTCCCCGGGATAAGCAAACTAGTCCTCCAGGAAGTCTTCCTTCTTTGTCCGTGGGATAAGCAAACTGGCCCTCTAGGAAGTCCTCCTTCTTTGCCCCCGGGATCGGCAAACTGGCCCTCTAGGAAGTCCTCCTTCTTTGCCACCGGGATAAGCAAACTGGCCCTTTTCAGGAAGTCCTCCTTCTTTGTCCCCGGGATAAGCAAACTGGCCCTCCAGGAAGTCCTTCTTCTTTGTCCTCGGGATAAGCAAACTGGCCCTCCAGGAAGTCCTCCTTCTTTGTCACCGGGATAAGCAAACTTGCCCTCCAGGAAGTCCTCCTTCTTTGTTTTTCGGGATAAGCAAACTGGCCCTCCAGGATATCCTCCTTCTTTGTCCCTGGGATAAGCGAATTGGCACTCCAGGAAGTCCTCCTTCTTTGTCCCCGGGATAAGCAAACTGGCCCTCCAGGAAGTCTTCCTTCTTTGTCACCGGGAAGGAAGTCCTCCTTCTTTGTTCCCGGGATAAGCAAACTGGCCCTCCAGGAAGTCCTCCTTCTTTGTCCGCGGGATAAGCAAACTTGCCCTCCAGGAAGTCCTCCTTCTTTGTCCCAGGAAGTCCTCCTTCTTTGTCCCCGGGATAAGCAAACTGGCCCTCCTCCCGGGATAAGCAAACTGGCCCTCCAGGAAGTCCTCCTTCTTGTCCCCGGGATAAGCAAACGGGCTCTCCAGGTAGTCCTCCTTCTTTGTCCCCGGGATAAGCAAAGTGGCCCTCCAGGAAGTCCTCCTTCTTTGTCCCCGGGATAAGCAAATTGGCCCTCCAGGAAGTACTCCTTCTTTGTCCCCCGGATAAGCAAACTGGCCTTCCAGGAAGTCCTCCTTCTTTGTTCCCGGGATAAGCAAACTGGCCCTCCAGGAAGTCCTCCTTCTTTGTCCCCGGGATAAGCAAACTGGCCCTCCAGGAAATCCTCCTTCTTTGTCCCTGGGATAAGCAAATTGGTCCTCCAGGAAGTCCTCCTTCTTTGTCACCGGGATAGGCAAACTGGCCCTCCAGGAAGTCCTCCTTCTTTGTCCCCGGGATAAGCAAACTGGCCTTCCAGGAAGTCCTCCTTCTTTGTTCCCGGGATAAGCAAACTAGCCCTCCAGGAAGTCCTCCTTCTTTGTCCCCGGGATAAGCAAACTGGCCCTCCAGGAAATCCTCCTTCTTTGTCCCCGGGACAAGCAAATTGGCCCTCCAGGAAGTCCTCCTTCTTTGTCCCTGGGATAAGCAAATTGGTCCTCCAGGAAGTCCTCCTTCTCTGTCACCGGGATCAGCAAACTGGCCCTTTAGGAAGTCCTCCTTCTTTGTCCCCGGGATAAGCAAACGGGCCCTCTAGGAAGTCCTCCTTCTTTGTTCCCGGGATAAGCAAACTGGTCCACGAAGTCCTCCTTCTCTGTCCCCGGGATAAGCAAACTCCATCCTCCTTCTTTATCCCGGGGATAAGCAAACTTGCCCTCCAGGAAGTCCTCCTTCTTTGTCCCCGGGATAAGCAAACTGGCCCTCCAGGAAGTCCTCCTTCTTTGTCACCAGAAGAAGAAACTGGCCTTCCAGGAAGTCCTCCTTCTTTGCAAGCAAACTGGCCCTCCAGGAAGTCGTCCTTCTCTGTCACCGGGATCAGCAAACTGGCCCTCTAGGAAGTCCTCCTTCTTTGTTCCCGGGATAAGCAAACGTACTGGCCCTTCTCAGGAAGTCCTCCTTCTTTGTCCCCGGGATAAGCCAATTGGCCCTCCAGGAAGTCCTCCTTCTTTGTCCCCAGGATAAGCAAACTGGCCCTCCAGGAAGTCCTCCTTCTTTGTCCCCGGGATAAGCAAACTGGCCCTCCAGGAAGTCCTCCTTCTTTGTCCCCGGGATAAGCAAACTGGCCCTCCAGGATGTCCTCCTTCTTTGTCCCTGGGATAAGCAAACTGGCCCTCCAGGAAGTCTTCCTTCTTTAAGCAAACTGGCTTTCCAGGAAGTCCTCCTTCTTTGTTCCCGGGATAAGCAAACTGGCCCTCCAGGAAGTCCTCCTTCTTTGTCCGCGGGATAAGCAAACTTGCCCTCCAGGAAGTCCTCCTTCTTTGTTCCCGGGATAAGCAAACTGGCCCTCCAGGAAATTCCTCCGGGATAAGCAAACTTGCCCTCCAGGAAGTACTCCTTCTTTGTCCCAGGAAGTCCTCCTTCTTTGTCCCCGGGATAAGCAAATTGGCCCTCCAGGAAGTCCTCCTTCTTTGTCCCGGGGATAAGCAAACTGGCCCTCCAGGAAGTCCAGGAAGTCCTCCTTCTTTGTATCCGGGATAAGCAAACTGGCCCTCCAGGAAGTCCTCCTTCTTCGTCCCCGGGAAAAGCAAACTGGCCCTCCAAGAAATCTTCCTTCTTTGTCCCCGGGATAAGCAAACTGGCCCTCCAGGAAGTCCTCCTTCTTCGTCCCCGGGAAAAGCAAACTGGCCCTCCAAGAAATCTTCCTTCTTTGTCCCCAAGAAGCAGGAAGTCCTCCTTCTTTGTCCCCGGGATAAGCAAAGTGGCCCTCCAGGAAGTCCTCCTTCTTTGTCCCCGGGATAAGCGAACTGGCCCTCCAGGAAGTCCTCCTTCTTTGTTTCCGGGCTAAGCAAATGTGCCCGGGATAAGCAAAGTGGCCCTCCAGGAAGTCCTCCTTCTTTGTCCCCGATATAAGCAAACTGGCCCTCCAGGAAGTCCTCCTTCTTTGTCCCCGGGATAGCAAATTGGCCAGTCCTCCTTCTTTGTCCCCGGGAGAAGCTGGCA